TCTGAAAAATAAACTAAAACAAAAAAAAGGACTGCCTGGTTAGCCAGAGTTCAAACCCAGTACCACCAAAACCAAAACTCTCCAACCAAACCAAAACTCTCCAAACCCAAACCAAAACTCTCTAAACCAAAACCCAAACTCTCCAATCAAAAAGCCATGCACGAGCATGAACAAGCCTCCTTGCTTGCAATACTTTGTGAGGACACTGGAAGTTGTGCCAACGCAAACTTTTCCCTTTGCTGATTTTATTCAATATGTTTTCACTGCTATGAAACCTAAGTGTAAGTACAATAGCTCTGAGTTCTGTCAAGGCCAAGTTTTCATGGGCACTCCTCATCTCCCTTCCTTTGAAGGTAGGGTTTTCTTGCCTGGATTTCATTACTTTCCCAGCATTGGCAGAGTTTAAAGCACCTGGTCAATCCCATAGATTTATTAATCATAAAATCTGACCTGGTCAGTCATGACCCAGTGGCCACTGGATTGAAACCAATATTTCAAGCAGATAGCTACACATCTTAGGATATGTCTGACACCAATGTCTCATCAGCACTTTTCCCAACCCCAGCAATGGACATGGCATGCCAGGTATTGACTGACTACTGCTTGAAATGGTTGAGAAACTGGCAAGTGAACTTCACTGTTTATATGCCATAGGCCCAAACTGCCAACAAAGAAGGCTCTGTTAGCTCCCAGAAGTGTTGTTGTAATCCTCTCATCCCTCCCTTTCTGAAACTGCATATGATGCTGCAGAGATCTAATCTGTAATGCATGCAGGAGAGGAGCCTCTGTCCTTACCTAGAGCTCCTCTCTCAGCTAGGAGGTGGTTGCACCTAGAAAGTATGCCACAAATAATTCAGTATCCATGTTATAAAATGACTTGTATATAAAAACATGAAATCCAGGTGTGGTGGCACACATCTGTAATCCCAGCACTCAGGAGTTGGAGGCAGGAGGACTGTGAGTTTAAGGCCAGTCTGGGCTACAGAGTGAGACCCTATCTTTAAAAACCAAGGGGAATATGGCTCAGTAGGAAAGTGCTTGCCAAACATGCATTAGGCCCTGAGTTCAGTCTCCAACACTGAAAAGTAAAAATGAAAATAAAAACATAAGTAAAATGCATAATTCATTCTCATTCACTTGTACTCTGATAAACATTCTGAGGAGAGAAAGAGTTACAAGTATACTGTACACCAAAAGTACATAAGGTACAACCTTCTATGGCCAAGCATGACATAACTGTTTAAACATTAAAACAGTTAAACTTCACAGCAGAAATGACTATATGTTCAATGGCAATTCCCATAAAAATCCCAATGACATTCAACACAGAGAATGCAAAGTCAACCTTAAAGTTCACATGGAAGCACAAAGACCACAAATAGCCAAGGCAACACTGAGCAAAAAGAGCAACACTGGAAGTACCACAATATCAACTTCAAAGCATACTACAGAGCCATAGCAATAAAAACAGCACAGTACTGGCACAAAAACAGATATGAAGACCAATGGAACAGAATAGAGGACCTAGATATGAATCCACCACCTATGCCCATCTAATTTTTGACAAAGGTGTGTGAAAAACATATGATGGAGAAAAGACAGCCTCTTCAACAAATGTTGAAAACCAGACATCTGCCTGCAGAAAACTGAAACTAGATCCATGTTTGTCACCCTGAACAAGTATCAACTCTCAAAGTGGATTAAGGACCTTAACATCTGAAGCTAGCATAGGAAAGAGCAGGGAATACACTGGAAGCAATAGGCATGGGCAAGGACTTCCTCAGTAGAACTCAAGAGGCTCAGCAACTAACAGAAAGGATAGACAAATGGAACTACATGAAATTAAAAAGCTTCTGCACAACAAAAGAAATGGTCTCTAATTGAAAAGGCCAGTCACAGAATGGGAGAAAAATCTTTGTCAGCTATACACCAAGAAGGAACTGATAACCAAATATACAAGAAAGCTCAAAAAACAGAAACTCCGAAAAAATCAATGGTCCAATGAAGAAATGGGCAAATGAACTAAACTTTTCAAAGGAAAAGCCAAATGGCTAAGAAACACATGAAAAAATGCTCACCATCCCTGGCCATAAAGGAAATGCAAATCAAAACCACATTAAGATTCTACCTCATTCCTGTTAGAATAGCTACTATCAAGAACACCATCACCACCAAATGTTGGCAAGGATACTGAAAAAGGAACACTCATACACTGCTGGTGGGAATGTAAGCTAGTACAACCACTATGGAAAACAGTATGGAGGCTCCTTAAAAAAGTAAAAATAGATCTTCCATACAATCAGCAATACTACTCCTAGGGATATACCTGAAGGAATGTGAGTCAGCTTACAACAATGGCACCTGTGCATCCATGTTTATTGCAGCATTATTCACAATAGGTAAACTATGGAAACAGCCAAGATGCCCTACTACTGATGAATGGATTTAAAAAATGTGGTATTTATGCCACATTTACAATGTAATTTACTCAACCACAAAGAAGAATGAATTTTGTCATTCACAGGTAAATGGATGGAACTGGAGAACATCATCTTAAGTGAAGTTAGTCAGGCTCAGAAGGCCAAAAGCCACATGTAGATTATAGACCCTAAACAAATGCAGCAATATTATGGGACGCAGGTCAAACTAAGGGAAGTTGATGCACGGAAGGGATACAGCAAAAGAAGGAAACTAAAGACTTGAATGTGGTTGATGTGCTCTCTGTGCAGGAATGAATACAGAAATCTTAAACTGCCCAGGGCCACCATGGGACATGGAATAGGAGGAGTGAAGAGGACTAGAGCTGATGAATCAACTGGAGTTGTAATATATATATGCACGGAAACAACACAAGGAAACTCCTATGTAGCTATCTTTATCTCAAACTAGAAAAAAATGTCATGTTTTCTTTTTTTATCTTTTATCTTCTTTCTTCTACAAAATTGAAGAACAGGAGGGTGGAACAGGTCCTGCATGCATGGGGAGATGTTGGCATCCATGGGAGGGGGAGGTGGCAGGGAAAAGGGGTAGGAGGATGAATATGGTGCAAATAATGTGTACACATGAATGTAAATACAAAAATGATACCTGTTGAAACTGTTCCAGGAATTGGCGGGGGAGAGAGGGGATGGAGAGCATTGAAGGGGGGAATTCAAGTATGATATATTTGATATACTGTAAGAACCTTTATAAATACCACAATGTACCCCCACCCAACACAATAATAAAGGAAAAAACAAAACAGTTTAACTTGTAAAATTTTGTTAGGCAGTGCTTATGAAATGCTGTGATGTTCTTTGACACTGCTCCACACATCAAGCCTGTAATCTATGACTTTATTTTCTAAGAAAGGCTTTTGGGTTTCGTCATCCCAGAGAACCGGTTCAAGTCTGTGAATGCTATGTAAATGATACACACTAGTCTAAAAATGGCTCAAGTCAGAGCACTGGGGAATGTGGAGTTAGATATATTTACTGTTTCTTAAAGCAAAATTGAGTATCTCAAATTTGTACAGATTGTAAATTTTCACTGCACTGAGCATTTGGCCTAAGGTAAAGGCCAAAATACACTGTATAGGAGCTAACAGATCAGTGGAAAATATCTATCACACATTAACAAAAAGATTTTATGTTATTGAGAACATTTTATTTAAAAGTCTCAAACAGCTTTCTCATCTATGAACTATTCAGAGTCAGAGAAATAGTGCAACAGAACCTAATGGAACTTTTGGCTTTCTCTTTCTTTCATTAAAACCAGCATTTACTGGTGTGTGTGTGTGTGTTGTGTGTGTGTGAGAGAGAGAGAGAGAGAGGAGAAGAGAGAGAGAGGAATATGTATTGTTTTAAAATAAAAGGAGCATTCAATTTGTAAGCATATCCCCTGAAAGTGCTGAATGCCATTCTTATTAAATGTATGTTAACTGCTTGGAATCCCAGGCACATATTTAAGTTCATTTCCTTTCTCCTCAGGCAGTTTCCACAATCCACAACATTTCATTTTAACAGTCCTCATTACTGGTATCATTTAATACTTGAGGGTTTGCTCAAGTCAACATCAATCTTGCTGATCCTGCAAACACTTATTTTGTTGGTACAACATAATTTAAATCCACAGTCTAAATCTTACTAAATGTAGGAATTCAAAAACTATTCCCTCCTCCAACATGTTACCAAGTGCTAAGAATAACTCTATCAATTATTTAGTCCTGTCAGGGGACAGACATCATCAGCTCAGGGTCTTTCATGGAGTCCTTTCTAACGTCACCCATCCTTGTGCTCCCATGTATACTGTATCTTTTCATATATATCCAGCACCTTAAAGTTATTCATTCTGAAGATGGAAATGTTTACTTGAGAGGCACCTTGTTGGACACATCTGATTCCTACTTCCTCACTAACAAGCAATCCTTTGCCACACAATTTTTTTTTTTTCCGTAAGTACAGGGCCTAGGGTTTACAAGGTAAGTGCTCTGCCACTTGAGCCATGCCCCCAATACTAACCAGAAGAGGGAGACTCTTTCCCTCAGCAGGAGCAAGAAAAACCCATTCAAAATAAAATTTCCTCTTGAATTAAGCTTTCAGTGCTCTAGATGAGTCTAAATTAAGAAGCACAATATTTCCTTACCTGATTGGAGTACCTCATGCTCACATTCCGTTGATTCTGTAGTGGAATGTAGCGCTGGACAGGATCAATGTCTTTAGGACTAATTAACTCATCAGCTGGAAAAAAAAAAAAGGAAAGTGACATTATCAAAAATACACTTGTACAACACTATAAATCAACCAGACTAAGAGACATCTATAGGACACTTCACTCAACAAGTGCACAATATTCATTTTCCAGCACACAGAACATCCTCTAGGATATAACCTATGCTAGGTCATAAAAAATAACCCTCAATAAATACAAAAGAAAGGACCAGGCATGGTGGCTAATGTCTATAATCTCAGCTACTTGAGAGGAGGAGATTGGAGGGTCATTAATTAGCCAATGAATGAAAGTGGACCTCTTTCCCATACATATATATAAATAAACAAAATAGATAAAATAATTACATGTAAGAGCTAAAACTGTAAGACTGTAGGGACTTTGATTTATACAAAATTAAATAAAAATGCAAGTGACCAAAGAAATGAGACAAATTAGATTTCATAAAATTATAATCTTTTGTGCCTCAAAGGTCACTGGGGGCTAAATGATAGCCCCCAGAATAAGAGAAAAATATTGGCAATCTATGTATATTGTCAGGGACTTTTATCTAGAATAAATAACTCTTATAGCTCCATAATAAAAAGACAACCCCCCTCAATTTAAAAATAGCCACAATATTTGGATAGATAGTTCTCTAAAGAAGTTAAGTAAACCACCAATAAACACATGAAAAGACACACAACAAAATTCTTCATTTGGGAAATGCTAAATCAAACCACAACTGAGATACAAATTCATACCCACTGGGATAGCAATATTAATTTTAAGAAATAATAGATAAGAATGTGTTAGCAAGGATGTAGAGAATATTGGTGGGAAAGCAAAATGATACAGCTGCTTTGGGAAACAGTCTGGAAGTTGCTCAAACTGTTAATAAACAGGTAGTGTATAACCCAGCAGTTCCTTTACTGGGTATACCCAAGAGAAATGAAAAATGTCAAACAATAATTTGTACATGAAAGCTCATAGCACCAGTATTTATAATAACCCAAAATAGAAACAATTCATCATTCTGATGAATGGATAAATAAAATTAGGTATATTCATATAATGGAATGCTATTTTATCATAAAAAAGAATGGTGTGTGGGATTCCAGTGGTTCGCACCTGGAGGCTGAGATCAGGAGGACAGAGGTTCAAAGCCAGCTGGGGCAAATAGTTTGCAAGTCCGTATCTTAAAAATACCCAACACAAAAAAGGGCTAGTGGAGTGGCTCAAGTGGTAGAGCACCTACTTGCAAGTAGGCCCTGAGTTTAGCCAACCCCCAACAGCCCCAAAAAACAGGAGTGCTGATACTGGAGGAACCCTGAAAACATTGTTAGGTGAGAAATGTCAGACACAAAAGGCCATACACTGTATGATTTGGAGTATATAAAATGCTGAGAATTAGCAAGAGAAAGATTAGTGACTGCCCAGTGCTGGTGTGTGGTGGGGTGGTGGCTCTAAACTAGTGATTAGAAAGAAATGGGGAATGACTGCTAGGATTTTTTTTTTTTAAACATTGTATCTCACTGTGTAGCCCAGGCTGGCACAAACTTACAATACTCCTGTCTTAGCCTCCCAAGTGCTGGGATTACAGGTGTACACCACCATGACCTGCTATGGTAGAAAGTCCTTTTAAAGACTAATGACAATGTTTTGAAGTTGAATATAACGATGGTTGCACAGTTCTCTGTGAATATACTAAAAATTGTTGAATTATAAACTTTAAAATTGAAATGAATTAGATGTGAATTACAGGTCAATAAAACCATTTTAAAACTATGCTTAATAATGCCAAGGAAGTAAACTAGTTTATTATCCTAACACTACATTGTAAAAGGATTCAGAGATGGGCATTTTTCACGGGACACTGACTGGGATGAGAACAATGTCATCTATTGCTGTCATATTGTAAATGCAGAAGGCCTTTTCCTGCGGTAGCTCTTTGTGGCAACTTCTGATAAAAATCCAGGGATACAGCAAGTGATAACTTAGATGCGAGAGTTGGGGGTAAGGAGGGGCAGGGTGAAGAAGGCCTGTCAGTGTTTCCTGCTGTCTTCTCCACACACCTGAATGATACTCATCAGACTTGAGGCTCTCTGCAGCTGGGTTTCTGCAAGGACCTGGAGGTGAGTAAGCTGGGGAGAGGTGATGATACGAAAGGCCCTCTGAAATATAATTCTGCACAACCTCCTTATAGTGTATCAAGTGGGCAGTATCCATGCAAATATCTAGTGAGCATATTCTCCAATCTAGCAATTCCATACCTATAAATTTAGTTATGTTCACACATGTTCAAATTAATGGAAAAATAACTGTGAAAAATGAAATCAAATTCTACTAAAATGAACTGGCACACACCTGCATTTTTCCTGCATGTTCATTTCATTCTTGATCTTCAGTTCTATACTGATCATGTAGAAGTAATACTATGCTGAATTTGGTATAAATGTATCTGTGTATAATTTTCATGAAACAATTACAGGTCATTTGCCACATGTTTTCAGGTACTGCTTTCAGGCAGTAAATAATTCTGAATAGCAGACCAGGGAGTCAATGATTGAAAATTTCTTTGCAGCTTTGGGAACATTTCTATGGGGCATTTATGTTCTGGGGTACCTTCCAGGCATATCTGTAATGCTACAACAAACAAAACCACCTAAGTGTGCTTTAGTAACTCTTGGAGGGAGGATTTCAAGTAATATTAACAGTAGAGTACCAAAGAAAAAGAGAAAAAAGGGTGTAGCAGCATGTGCTTTCTAAGTTCTTGATATCATTTAAGCATTTCATGTACATTAATTCTGACAACAATCAGATCATTCTACAGACTATAAAACTGAGGCACAGAGTGCATTATGGCTAGTATATGGCACATGTTCTTTTCTCTGAAAAAAATACTTTTGCAAAATTTGAACCATACCAATACAGGCTTAATTGCCGCTGATAATGACATGTAACTTTGATTTATTAGTTTCAGTTTAGCTCTTGATGCAAGGTTGATGAGTACATTGATATTCTAAGTAAGCAGAAAATTATTTCCCTAGCTCGTTTGTATTATCACTGAGATACGAAAAAATTTCCATAGCCAACAAGCATGTTACATAATTAACATTTCAGTATTATTATACAGAAACAAAAGTCTGTATTTTGTTATTTATAAGTGATGGCAGATAAATTAAGAAGCTTTATATATCCTTAGAAAGTATAAATGCTAATCTATTAATATTGATAATGAATCAAATGTTTAACCAAGTCTCATGAAAGCTTATTTCTTTGCATTTCCTTTGTATTTTTCTCTATCCAGTTAGATATTTCACTGCATACCTATATCATCATCTACCACCGCATAGGGTGCATACTGTTTATTCTTGGTTATAGCCCAGTACCTAGCACGTCATTTGGCACACAGTGAATCTCACCAGACTTACTAAAGAAAAGAATAAGCAGGTGGGTTAATAAATATGGAAGCACTAATAGACACAATCATTCATTTCCATAATGGCAAAAGTGACAAAAACCCTTAAAAGGTCAAGTTCATAGATTATCTTTTCCCACAGTGTTGATTTTTATCATTCAGGAGGCCAAAATAGTTCTTCATTGTGCCAATTCAATAATGATTTTTTTGATGAAGAGTGACAAGACTCAAAGAAATTATACCCAACCAACTACAGAATATTTAAAATGAGAACCAAAAGAACAAGGATAAAGGAGCAATGGTTTTCTATATTTACAGGACCAGACCTCAAAGATAATTAAGTATGTCTAAAACAGGGATTAATTTTCTATGTATTTCGTAAGCACAGAGAGGTTTACAAAACAGACCCTGGGTTTACCTCAACTAATGTTGAGGATCAAAAGAAAATATTAAATTGAATAATATATAATATATACATGTATCAAAACAGCACAGTGGCCCCCATAAATTGTACAATCTTTATGTCCATTTAAAAATATTTTTTAAAAAATTAAGAATTTTTGCTTCTTTAGTAAATGACAACCTAAGGAACATTTACCAAAGAAAGTTTTTTTTTTTTTTTTTTCCAATCCTGGTATCAAAATTACACAGGCCACACTCAAATAGGATCATGAAATAATTCACAGAATACAATTATATACTTCAAAGCCTAACTGATTCTTGGCTACACTGACTCATATAAGTAATGCAGATTATGAAATGAGCCATATGGAGAAAAATGCAGATTCTCAAAGAATTCCAAATTTTTATACATTTTTAACTTGATTAAGAGTTGAGTTGGTTTGATGGACTTTCTAAGATTGAAAGTTAAATTCCATGACAAAAAATCACTGCAGAAAATACTGACAAATCTCAGTATAAAAAGATTTTTAATTTCATTCATCAAAAAACAGCATAAGCAAAATTTGGAAGCAAACAAACTAGGAAAATATACTTTAACATAACATTCATGCAGACTGTTGAGAAAAAAACATAAAACCAGGGTTAAATGAGCAAAGCAAATTACTAGACAATTCACAGAAGAAAGTGATTCAGAAAGGTACTTTAAATAGTCAGCATGTAAATGAAACAAGGATGCAATTTAATATCTTAGTAGGTTAACAAAATTTTAAATAAGAATATTTAATGCCTTGGAGGTTGTACTTTATCTTGAAACTGTTTATTCTTATGAAAAATCATGATTGTCAGTCATGAACAGTGTGATCGTGGGTAAACTACTAAATTCTTCTGGGCTTCAGTTATCTGTGTCACATAGTACTCATAAAGAAGTTAGGAGGATTACTTGTGATAATATTTGTAAAAAAGCAGAGCACAGGCAGAAACTGACAAATTTTAAGGTCGGTATCATTATTAACATTTCTGGAACACAGTGTGGCAATATATATGAAACATCTATTCAGACTCTAGGAATTGCTGCTTTCACATTCAAATTTAGTAATGTATGTGATGGTGAGGCCATTATTTTTTATGCAAATTTCTAGCCCTATCAGACATTCACCTAAAATGTTTTAGTTTGAAGAAAGACAAGTTATTTGTATGATAAGCTAAAGA